TTTTAACCGAGAAGATGGATTCTGGCTTAGCAATCATTGGAAGGACGTAATAAACCATTTCGACACACATTAGGGTGGGTAGAATAATACATAGTGTTATATTAAATGTATAAGATATAGGTTGGTTTACAGCAATACAGTATATAATTTAATGTTGGCAGTATATAGTACGGTATATGCTCGTGTGATGCAATAGAATAAAGTTTAGATGGAAGCATATTATATAATTTTTACGACGTAGAATTGTAATGTATTACTTGCTGTTAGTAACTCAGCTTAGTGTAGAGAATAGTAAGTATACTGATGGTGCTATGCTATTTATACTTTAGTTTTTTATGTAGTTTATACTTTAGTTTTCTACGTGGTTGTTGAGTAACTGCAGCTACATATCATTAACATTCCTTTCCTTTGTTACTGCTAATCCCTGCACCCCCCCTTGGTGCTGTTGATCCTGCATAATGCATGGGCATAATATGACTTTGAAACCCCCCCGCCCACCTCCTACGCATTTTCCATGAATATGCTAAATTCCTCTTCATATGCACATTCTTTTGTTAAGGCGCTCTTTCTTCCACCTCCAACGCAGCTTATATATAAGCTCCTAGCTTGGCATTGTCTCATTCTTCACCTGAAGACGGCTGCTTGCGTTGTAGCCGAAACGTCGTGAGAATTATTTTATTTTATTATGTTTTATTTTTATTATTTTATTACTTCCCTTCTACGTGACTTTACCGAAAGAACCAAGAAGATGAATCCCTGCAGTCACGAAAGCTTTGAATCGAAAAATCTTAACACCTGTTTTGTTGCCAAAAAAAGGGGAAAACCTGTTTTCAAGATTATCCTGATCATCTACAATTCCTCCGGCCATCCACCATCTACATGTGATCTGATTGAGAATAATAAGGTGGTGTTTTCCCCTCCCAACACCACTTCATTCAACCAATGGATCAGGGGGTGATAGTGACTTTCAAGACTTATTACCTTAGGAAAACATTCACCGTCTTCGTCAAAGCCACCGAAGACAACAAGATGACGGTAAAGGAGTTTTGTAAGAAGTTCACCATCCGGGACTCCATAATGATGGGTGGCACGGCATGGAATAAGGTTACCCCCTCTTATATGAATGGGGTATGGAAGAAGCTGTGCCCATACTTCTGTCACGGCTTCCGAGGCTTCAGCGTCGATGAAGTTGCACGGAACCATCGCCGAATCGTTGATATGGCCAAGGCAGTCGGCTTTGACGAGGTGGAAGTGGATGATGTGGCGGAGTTGTACAATTCACACGTCGAGGATTTGACGACGGAGGATCTGCTCCAGCTGGAGAATAAACGGCAGAAGGAAGATGGAGGGGAAGACGGTTAAGAGGTTGAGGAGGTGCGTTCCCTCACAAGGAAGCGATTGGCCAAGGTTTTGAGCCTCATCTACGAAGCCATGGCCATTTTTGACGAGGATGATCCGAACACGGAACGTATCTCTGAATTAGCCAGAATGTTTTCTTCCGTCATGCAGTGTTATTGGGAGATGCAGAAAGAAAAAAAGATGAAAGCAACGATGAAGATTGAACGCAATCTTCATCGCTTCCATTCTTACGAAAGTTGGAAACGAAGCAGGAGCCTCAGCCATCATCTGCACCATCGTCGTCATCTGATGAAGACGATCCCCCCCCCTTCTCTCTCTCGAGTAGTAACCCCACCACTCTCCACTCCTCCCCTTCACCAGCCCCAGTACGTGGCGCCACACTCAAGCATCTCACTACGTGTTAAACATCTTTTTATTTTAATTTATCTTTATTTTAAATAGTCTGTTACTATATTTAATACATGCATGGTAGTAAATATAATATGTACTGTAACCAGTGAAATATGTAGATGTAAGAATAAGGTTCAATAGCATGCACTCCCGAACCCAACCATTTCCTTGATTTTTTATGGGAAAATTAAGGTAAATTTACACGATCTTAAGTTGCGCGCCGTTTTTCAAGAACACAACCGCCGTGTAAAACGAAAGGTAGCTGTATATACCTATTCATGCGATCCCTGCTGGTGCATGTGTTTCATTTTGCGTTAGAAATACTAAAATATTCAGTGTTAACCCATCTGGGGTAGTTTATGCCATTGAGCCACTGCATTTCTCGGTGTATGATGTGTCTGGTCCCATTTATATTGATATTAAAACAACCATCTGAAACCTCATATATAAAATTTAAAATAGAAAGGGACAGTGCTGCTTACATACGCTAAACTATGTCTCCATTAACGCTCCCATACTACGTAAACATACAGAGTAGGATGAATGTTTCAAGCAGTGGCCCTGAGCTTTATTCAAAGAAGGCCATTGTTAAACATTTCGGACTACTGTATTTTATATAAGCAACATTATTCGTGACGATAGTGGATTTAAAAAATATATTTCTCAAGTTAGCCTGCGATGCATTTTAGTTTTCAGTCAGAGAATTGAGGCGTTCGTATCTTCCGAGCGCTGTCTCTCAAGCGATGTATTTATAAATCCTTAGAAATTGCACATTGGCAACTGTCATTTGCACTATATACCGTATCGATCGGCGAGAGAGAGAGAGCACTAATAGAGGTTTCACGTCGTGCACAGAGGGGGCTGCTTACGCATGCACGGTGCGTCGCGCTTTGCGTCCGTGCCACCACCGCACGCCCCGCTGCATTGCAGCACTCAGCCGTGCACTGCCAATGCTGGTGGGGGGGGCTGGGTGTGGTGTAGGGGGGGTTCTGCCGCTGGGGTTGTAGGGAAAGGCAGATAATGTAATCCAATTTGGCCTAGATGTGCTCACTCAGACACATGGACAGACAGACCGTGACCTCTGCACATTATGCTCAACCCCTCGTGATATAAGTGACATTGTGCTAGGGAAAATAGATTCACAAATGACAGATTTATATGTGTGCACACTGTATATATGAAGGGATGTGGTGTTTGTATACAGTACATTATGGGTGTACAATCGAAAAATAGAGTTGGGTGCATTGATGTTATTTTTTCTGTTCGGAAATACTGTAATGTGACGCGTGTGATTAAAAATAGAATTTCCTCAAAATGTTCGAAGTGTCCAGTTTGCACATCTGCTTGTGATATGTGGTATATGTTTAAAACAACAGTATGAGCTGTGTATATGCATGCTATGCAAGTATAGTTTTGTAGTCACACACATAAAATAAATTTGTGTAATCTGATATGCTTTGTTCAAATAAATCATGTTAAATAGCATGCAGCATTACAAACCTACATTTCAATAATATAGGTTTAATTCAGCATTTGTCAGTGAAATTACATCTGTGTGTATGATACCATGTCCTGGACATAGCCTATATTATCATGACCTCTTCTGTTTGTGCGGCATGAATGCTCTGCGTTTGTAAATGAACATAAGTGTTACCGAATATAATAATGTAAAAAATACAACACATTATACGGAATGCATTTATAAAGTGTTTTTGTTGAATATGTAATTGGCGGTCAGTATTCATTTATGCTGCTCATAGCGTATGGATCGAACCATTTTTAAATGGGTTCTACATTTTTGCAGCATAAGCTAGCTGTGTTAGTGGAAGCAAAATAGTGGAATTCTTTACGTAACATCTGTCATTCTATAAGTGCAGGAATATGCATATTTTACAGCAAAGTATCCTTGAAAAAAACTTAAATGTAATCTGAAATCACAAACTGTGCGTATACAGCTCTTAACTCCCGACTCTTATGTTTGATATCTACTTGTGAAGTTGGTATAAGATGGATAGTTTGGGCATTACACTCTGTCACCCTTACTGCTAGCCACTATCTCCCAGCAACCATATCCTGGCAACCTGATCCAGGCAATCTGATCTTGCCACTATACCCTAGTAACCATATCTTAGCAACTACATCTTGGAGACTGTTTCCTAGCAATGGTTTCTTGGCAACCAAATTCTTTTAAACTGCATCCAAGCTACTGGTTCATGGCAACGGTTTCATTGAGACCATATGTTGACAATGGCATCTAAGTGAATGGGTCATCCCCAGTGACTTATTCTAATTTTCCAATAAGTTCTCTGTATCACAGAATTCGTTATTTACGTAAAAAGGTAACTAAAAAAAACACATTGATGATCAGTAAATATAAATCTTGACTTAAAGCTTCCGTGACCGGAGGAATTAATATTCTTTGGGTCTTTCGGTAAAGTCACGTAGATAGGTACAAATTTAAAATAATAATAAATATTAAATAAACAAAAAACTGCGCTGTTTCGATCACAACACGAAAGATCGTCAGGAGGAAAGAAGGGGAAAGCTGCCGAATGCAGACTGTTTTATAGGTTTAAAATGGTTATAGTCCTTGGGTCATATACGAAGTGGGCAGGGCTAGTAATGTTAACGTGAGAGATTAGCGTGTTAATGTGAGATCGGAGAGCGGCCTCCACAGCGAGTGCACGGGTGGCTATGTTAACGTGAGAGATTAGCATGTTAATGTGAGATCGGAGAGCTGCCTCCACAGCGAGTGCACGGGTGGCTATGTTAACGTGAGAGATTAGCGTGTTAATGTGAGATCACAGAGCCACCGCGACGTCGAGGTCGGCATCCGGAGGAGGCCACGTTGGCGCGAGAAATTCATTGATTGCTCAGTTTGTACCCATCCTCTCGGTTGAAATTGTGTCCGTGTCTGTATATATAGATGGCTCCGTGAACAAATCTTTTGTTGATACCCATTGGGCTTACAAAGTACCTTCGTCTCAGAGAAATCAATTTCTTGGGAGCCAACCGTATTTAAACAATAATCAGCCACGGCCGACGTATTGGTCCCTACCGTGATTCAAATCTGCCTTATGCTCACGAACACGGTCCGAGACATGTCACTTAGTAGTTAAATGTCACTTTTAAGTTGTTTCGTATTAAATTTCTCTTCATAGTTTAATAACAACATAGAGTACAAGAAGCACACATGAATAATGTGCTTATATCAAGCCACATTTAACACGATGTGTTTGTGTTTTGTTTAGCAGCTTTCCAGTGAGCCCATGCAGAAATGATGCCAAAACCGGCTTCCAAAACGTCTGTGAGAATCACTCCGGAAGATCGAGCCCGTGAATTTAGCGGAGTCTTTCACGCCAGCGGGAAGCAGCTCATCTGCAGCTCCTGTAACATCCCCGTGGATCACACCAGGAAAGCCAGCCTGGAGAAGCATCTCATCACGGCCAAACATCGACGCCGCCTCGGCCTGTACACCATTAGCGAGGAGAAGCCGTCTAAGAAGCCTCGAGTGGTCAAAACCGAAGTCGCTCCCCAGCCGCAGCGAAGTGGCAATCGCCTGGAGCCCGTTCTCAAGCTCGTGCAAGCGTTTGCCGAGGCGAACATTCCCATCGGTAAAATAGACCATCCGGCTCTGCATGCCTTTCTAGAGCAAAACGTGAAAAAGGTTGGTGTGCTTCCGGAGGCATCCGTCCTGCGGAACATGTATTCTCAGAAAGTGTATGAGCTGCATGTGAAGGAGCTCACGGAGAAGTTCGGCCGCTGCCACAATGTGGCTATTGTAGTGGACGAGACGACCGATGAGGAGGATCGATACATGCTCAATATTCTGGCAGTGCCAAGCCTGTCGGTGGAAGGCCCGAGGAACGGTGGAAATAAAAGCGTTGAACCGCTGCTGGAGGCCTATCTGATTGAGTGCTGTCTGCTTGAGATAACCAACTTCAAAACGGTGAGCGAAGCTGTGCTGCGAGCAACACAGATGGTGAACATTGAGCCCACCAAAGTGTCTGCGTTTGTGACCGACCATGCGGCTTACATGTACAAGGCGTGGGAGAGAAGCCTGAAGCCTATTTTCCTAAACGCCGTCCACGTGACCAGTGCGGCACACATATTGAGCATCGTGGGCGAGATTTGGCAGAATGCGTTCGACGAAGTTAGTCAGCTTATCGTGGCCATCGAGAAATCATTTTCAGCGTGCCCAGCACGGAAAGCCCGCTTCCGCAACTTCCTGCAGGAGAAGGGGATGAAGCCAACTCTTCCGCCTGCCGTACAGCCAAATCGCTGGAGCTCCTGGTTCGAGTCTGCCTCCTACCACCGCCTGCATCTGCAGGACTACGCGGAGTTCTTCCAGGGCGAGCAGCAGACGAGCGGGAGCAGCGCGGTGGAGGAAGTTGTGGAGCTGGCGCAGAGCGGCAACACTGAGGAGCAGCTCGACGTCTTGGACAGGTATGGCGGGCACGTGAGGCAAATGCTCGCCAAGTATGAGCTGGCACGGAGCACGGCGGCCTGCGTGGTGGACGACCTGCGCGAGCTCGCGTTCTGGGCGCAGGGGGAGGCGGAGGTGGCTTGCACAGTGGCTGCCGATGCTCTGATTGCCATGGCGACACGCCTCTGCCAGTATGTGGAATTCGAGAGTCCGTGCCGGTTCACCCAGCCGGCGGCACGCTTCCTGGCCGCCTGCCGAATGTTCGATCCGGCCAAGGCCCTGGAGCTGCTCATGGATTCGGGGGAAATATGCAATGCGGTTCCTTTGTTGGAAGACAACATCGCTGGCATCGCACAGCTCATCGCATACTTGGATAATCTCGGTGAGTTTGTGCCATCGGAACCAGTGATGTTTTGGAGGAAGCTTGCTGACAGATTTCCCGAGCTCTCGCGGGTAGTGTTGGCATGCTTGTCTGTGCCCTTGAGCAGCGTCGATGCAAAGAAGAGCATTTCCATGTATTCTAATGTTCTTATGTCTGAGTTCCATGGCCACAAATAACAGATTCTGTGTATGATTTGAGCAAGACTACCTGCAACAACTTACATTGGTGAATGTTAAGACCTGTGAGACACTGGAGTGATGTAGACTTCCTAATAATTCATCAATGGGATTTGAATCTCCAAAGAAGTTCTGCCACACACAAAATGATGGTCTTAAGAGTCGTAGTTTTGTATAAGTTATATAAAATGTGGTGTCATGTGGGTGAGTACGGTCTTATTGCACAAAATAATGTATCTACTGTATGTCTCACAAATAGAAGTGAATTTGCTCTAAGACTACCTTTTAGAGTGTCTCTGTGGTGCTTGTCCTCAACTTATTATGATGGCCCTTTGGTGTAGCAGTGGCAGGGGGTGAGGTTGAGGGTTTGGATGTGGGAGCGTCGCAGTTAGCGCGCTGCGCTACGAACCCCGCGATCCTAGTTCGAGTCCCGCTCACTGCGAATACTATTGACGATTATCGGAAACGGTCCCGGGCCTACCCAAGGTCGACTCAGCCTCAAATGAGTACCTGGTGAGATGTGTAAACCTCATCACTAGGGAGACAAAGGCGGTCGGGCGTGGTGCTGGCCACTCACCCCCTCGTGTGCCGGGCCAGCCTTCATCGGTGCTCGCTAACAGCACTTGCCCCAACAGTTTGTTACAGGCTCTACGGGGGATCTTTGTGTTGACTACTGCTCCATAGAACCTACACACTTGATTGGCTGTGTGATAGTCATTGACACGAGCAGGTGAATGAGCTACCAACGAGACTGGTATTATTCTCAGCTCTTGTATTTACACTTATGATTTAGTAGAGACTCTCTTTGGGTTCACAATGTGAAGATAAATATTTATTATGAACGAAGAAAGCAAAATGTATAAGCACTTATATGCCCGAGACTGGTATTTTTCAATTGAATACATTTGAGGATTAAATTACCCTCTTACTGATGACAGTCACGGTTTGTAGAGACAGGTGCTGCTAAGTCCACTTAACCCCCAGCACTAATTTAGAACATTGTCATTGTCTCTTCTTTAATGAGTTTGGTGTGGTACTCTTCTCCATTGTGCAAGTGGTGGTGATTCTACATTCTATTGCCAGATACCAATATCCATTGAAAAAAACACTCACTCTTGTTCACATTGATGTAACATTAACTAAATGTATTCATGAACATATTGATATTTTTTATGCTAATTTATTTGCCAAAAGTGTATATTTGGTCAAAATGTTTACATTGCAAGAGTCACTTAACAAGATGGAAGGTCACTGAACACTGCTAAGTGTGACAGCTATTGGCCACAGAAGGCTATAGATGCAGAGTAAAACTAGATGATGTGAAATCAGCAGGTGTGGCATGGACTTGTAATAATGTGATGTGTTGTTTAAATACATGTGAACCTTGTGTTTTATATTCTTTACATTTCATCTTAGGCTATGAAGTGTCAGTACAAATGGTATAGCAAGCCACTGTATTTGTAAAATGTAATACATAACTAACACTGGAGGGATTGCAGTTTATATCATACTGGTAGTTTTATTTTAAGTGTTTAATCACAAGACTTTTTCAAGTTATAAAGCAGATTGAACATATAATGCATTTTAAAAAAATATCTTTATCCAGGAAAAGCTCACCAAGTCCCGAAATTCATTCAGGAGGGTCCTGCATTGGAATAATTGGCCAATTTATTTTTGATTGAGTGCATGTGTAGTGGTTTAACTGAGACACACTTGTTCTTGGAGGCAACGTGTTTATTTAACAACCACAACAGGGTAACTCCCTAAACGTACAACGTAGCTAACTAGACCCCAACAGGGTCACTACATAACGTACAACACAGTTAATTCTCTGTATTCTGGTCCACTACCTAACCATACAACGGGATACTACATAGCGGTAACCACCACGGGGTAACTATATAACCGGACCAGGTCCGTTAACACCCTGCTTGGTCCACGACTAACAAGCCCCAAAGCCCGGAGACCGAAGAGACGTAGACAGCGAGTTGATTCCCAGAAGACAGCCCAGATCGCTCTCTGGACTCGTCTCATATGCCCCTCAGCGTGGCCTGGCTCCGCCCTCGGCCACGCCCCCTTTTGGATCTTACCAGGAGAACGAGGACCCCTACACCACGTGTCACATTGCCTCTTCTGTCCGGTCACATGCCCTCTCGGGTTCGCTTAGACTGTTTCGTCCTCCCATGCCCCCTCTCTGCATTCACCGGAGCCATGCCCCTCATGGACTCTCCTTGTTGCCCCAGCACATGCCGCTGATAGAGGACCATTTACACCCTGGTTCTCCTTGGAACTGCCGTAGTGACCCCATATATGTCACTACACATGCATATAGGAAGAAATTTGAGTACCTGGATGCAACTCACACATAGGGGAGAATAACACTTAAAAGTCTATAGCACAGGATCGCCTGCACAGTTTCATACACTATTGCTCACGTGTAGTGATTGTCTCGAAGGATGATGGAGATAAGCAAGAGACGACGGAAGGGAGTTGACCCAAAGATGCTTCTGTCGGTGGCCACAAGACTCGACAGGCCTGGGCACAAAGCAGGGCAACCCAACGTGCCATACACATGTTTCATTCAATACCACGATATACGAAATGTGTGTACTGTATATATGTCACTCAAGCTATAAGCAGATTATACTTGTAAATAAACCTTGTTGTGCATATTCTGTCACTAATCACTGGAAAGCTATACATTTGATAAGTCAGTCCATGTTCTGTAATTGCGTCCTCACACTGTTTCAAAATTATTTATGAACAAAAAAAACCTATGGTGCTTGAAATAAATGGAAGGAAACTACGAAGTAGAATGTGTCTGTACCACATACTTGGCTTGCATCGCCTCCTTAATGTAGCCATGCTGAGCTGCGAAGTTGATGTGAAAGGTGAGCTGATTGTGAGGTCGCACCTCACCACGTGGTGCTGAGGCATGCCTGTGGGGAGATTGGATGCTGTTTATTGTTCTTTTCTGCTTTATCTGTAACAAAAAAAATTGCGCTCAAACACTGTTTTCTGGCAGTACATTGGTTTGTAGTTCAACCAGGAGGGATTTTTCTACGAAGCCAAGTCAATTGTCTCATTAAACTATCAATTACCATCGATGTTTATGAGGCAGTTTTACATTTCAAATTACAGTCTTTTTCATAGGACAACCACTATATTTACAAAATATGGGGCATCTGTTTTACCCGCCCCATGGAAATGATAAGCTGAGTCTACCTCCCGAGATTTGACTTTGCAAATTTGTGATTGACTTGATGGCTCTTACACCATCTGGCCTGATGAAGATATTGGCTTCCTTAAAGAGCAGTAAAACATTTGTCAAACATGAAAATCGATACCCTGTAAATTACAAACAGGTGCATAATGTGCTCGTCTTCAACACGTGTGGAATTACAGGGACATTTTTGACATTCAAGAGGCGCAAACTATTTGCATTTCCAAGAGGTTTTCATAACAACGTGCACAGCTTGAAAAACAATACTCCGCTATAAACATGCGTCGCTTTGAACTTTCCAAAACACACATCACAAAGCACTGAAATGGTTCCAAGACTGCAAGTGACTGAGTGTCTCCAAGCTCAAGACGGTGCCCGTGGCGTGAGGTTTGCGAGCTGTTGTGTGCGCACGCTTCCTTCTGCTGATCCAGTGCGAGACTCCACCTAAAATCAATACCTTCCCCAGCACAAAATCAATACCTTCCCCAGCACAAAATCAATACCTTCCCCAGCCCAAAATCCCTCGCAGGTGCGTGTGAATGTAAGCAAAACCCCTGATGTCAGGCCAGCTGCGTGGCGTGAACAGGTACACGATGTAACGAAAGGGAAAAATGTACGATTCTCAACATACATTACGTGGAAATCGCCAATCACAAGTGTCGCGTGGCTCAAATGAAAGGTGAGCAGTCTGGTAATCTTTCGGGGCCTTGGAATTACATATTTGCGTGACGGGATCACGTGTTAAAGGGCAACCACTGGCGACTTCGCTCAAAGTGGTGCACATCTTTACTGTTGAGGTGATGGGCGATGATAAAAAATATATCTGTGCTGTAGTTCTGTACCTCACGACTTGTGTGCAGGCATAGCACAAGGCAAATGCAAAGCCCAATACATCCAGTATGAACCCTAACATTACAGTGCATGATCAAGTGTATTTGTCTCGTGTATATACTATACAGTTCAACACTGAAGCGTGGTATTTTACACATACGCGTTATTCAAAACCCATCCGTCCATCTCATTGTGTTAGTGTAATATTCAACAAATCCAGAAGTGATGAAATTTCACAAATAGCCAAAAAAATTTCATCAGATAAAAGGTATCTGCTGCCCTGGGACAGAGTGACAGATTAGGCATTTTAAGCCTTTGGAGTCTCAGCCCAGGTGTACATCACAGGTGTGCACTGTCCAGCAAGTATGCAGGGGATGTGCATTGGACAAACCTTATTTTTGCTATTAGAGAAGCCGTTGATTTGCAACAATATAAGAAACCACTCATTTCCATACCTTTACAATATCATTAATCGGCTTTTTAAATCCTTTATATTAAGTTCGCTTGCTTGCGTGCTTGCTTGCGTGCTTGCTTGCTTGCTTAGGACCGTGCAAATCTTTCGCTCGTTTTTTAACCCACTTCCCGTGATCCAATCGAGCTGACATTTTCCACACAGACTCGTTGTGTGACAATTTTCCTGAAAATTTTTTTCCAAAATTTTACACTGTTTAGGGAAAACAAATTAAATATTTAATTACCAATTACTTAATACTGGCAGACAATCATCTGACCCATAGATTGCAGCCATCTCAAGCCAGAGGACGAGAAGACTCTAGCCGCCACGCATATAAAGGATTTATAGTGAAAAACTTTGTTTTTACGGGTTTACTTGTTAAATCCTTTATATTAAGTTCACTTGCTTGCTTGCGCGCTTACGACCGTGCAAATCTTTCGGTCGTTTTTTAACCCACTTCCCGTGATCCAATCGAGCTGACATTTTGCACACAGACTCGTTGTGCGTGACAATTTATACTCTTAGGTCTTTCGGTAAAGTCACGTAGGTAAAAAATGAAATTAATAAAAATAAAACATTAAAATCACGTTTCGGAGGCAACCCAAGCTTGTATGAATCCTTGCAGTCACGAAAGCTTCAAATCTAAAATTACGTGACAATTTATTTTCGTGAAAATTTTTTTCCACTTTTTAGGAATTTTTTTTTTCATATTTAATTTAAAATACCAATGTGATAAAAATGAAACTCTTACTCAAGAAAAACAGAAAT